TGCGGCCTCACCTCACAACCTAAATCCAGACCAAGGCTATACAGATTGTACATCAATATAAACAAATGGCCGACCCGACAATATACCCCAAGGAGAACTCTTGGCCCAAATCCCAGGCTTTCTGCTCCTCCGTCCAAACCCCACGAGTTCAGCCAAAAATCTAAAGGAGGTTGCGTCGTGCGGAATTTGCAAACACTGCAACCACTGGTGGTTGAAATATTATCAGATCTGAGATCTGAAATATATAGATCTGACAGATCTACCCGGCTTGAAGATTCCGGAGATTCCGGACGTGATTGGACGGATAAAACGGCCAAATCAATAAAGCGGCAGCTATGTAAAAATAACAAGACACATACTGCACCCACTGCCTCCGTCCTTCCCTTTAGGCTCGTCAAGGTCAAGAGCAGAAGGCTTCACCTGCTGCTGTCGGACAGAGAAACCCACAATTGTTATATAATCTGACTGCTCAAAATGTCAAGGTCATGACTCTAATTCAAGGATCATCCTAGCCGTTTATACTTAGACTCCTGACACCCCCAAACAAGGTTTGTTGCGCAAGAAGGAAGGTGAACCCATGGTTACTGAACGTTACTGAAGAGATTGCCATGTCCTTGTTTGGTACTTTGCTCTCACGTTAGAATGTGAGCACCTCGTTGACTCCCTCAACCCTTCGGAAGAGAAGACAAATGCAATGTAGTCTGTAGTAACCTCCACCCTCCTATATAGTAATTACATGGACCAAATCTAGAGTGTTTGCTCCTCCGTGGTCTATTGATGTGGTTCACGAAGTTCACGCGCAACGCTTTCATGCCCAAACTTCCAAGTAAAGCCGTGGCACTGATGGCTGCACGTCACCGAAGTTGAAATCATCCCAGCCGTCATCGCCTGCCAAACTTGCGGCCTCACCTCACAACCTAAATCCAGACCAAGGCTATACAGATTCTACATCAATTTAAACAAATGGCCGACCCGACAATATACCCCATGCAGAACTCTTGGCCCAAATCCCAGGCTCTCTGCTCCTCCGTCCAAACCCCACGAGTTCAGCCAAAAATCTATATAAAGGAGGTTGCGTCGTGCGGAATTTGCAAACACTGCAAACACTGGTGGTTGACATATTATCAGATCTGAGATCTGAAATATATAGATCTGACAGATCTACCCGGCTTGAAGATTCCGGAGATTCCGGACGTGATTGGACGGATAAAACGGCCAAATCAATAAAGCGGCAGCTATGTAAAAATAACAAGACACATACTGCACCCACTGCCTCCGTCCTTCCCTTTAGGCTCGTCAAGGTCAAGAGCAGAAGGCTTCACCTGCTGCTGTCAGACAGAGAAACCCACAATTGTTATATAATCTGACTGCTCAAAATGTCAAGGTCATGACTCTAATCCAAGGATCATCCTAGCCGTTTATACTTAGACTCCTGACACCCCCAAACAAGGTTTTTTGCGCAAGAAGGAAGGTGAACCCATGGTTACTGAACGTTACTGAAGAGATTGCCATGTCCTTGTTTGGTACTTTGCTCTCACGTTAGAATGTGAGCACCTCGTTGACTCCCTCAACCCTTCGGAAGAGAAGACAAATGCAATGTAGTCTGCGGTAACCTCCCCTCCTATATAGTAATTACATGGACCAACTCTAGAGTGTTTCCTGCTCCGTGGTCTATTGATGTGGTTCACCAAGTTCACGCGCAACGCTTTCATGCCCAAACTTCCAAGTAAAGCCGTGGCACTGGTGGCTGCACATCACCGAAGTTGAAATCATCCCAGCCGTCATCGCCTGCCAAACTTGCGGCCTCACCTCACAACCTAAATGCAGACCAATGGTTGACATGTTATCAGATCTGAGATCTGAAATAGATCTGACAGATCTGCCCGGCTTGAAAATTCCAGACGTGATTGGACCGATAAAACGGCCAAATCAATAAAGCGGCAGCTATGTAAAAATAACAGACATATACTGCAGCCACTGCCTCCATCCTTCCCTTTAGGCTCGTCAAGGTCAAGAGCAAAAGGCTTTACCTCCTGTCAAAAAGTGAAGCACGCAAATGTCAATTTGACAGCTGCGAGGTTTGAAGATCTAGAGCCTGACTTCGCTCTGCTCATGCAAGAAATCGTCACAATCATTACATTGTTTAGATGTTGTCCCTCCAAGGGTCATCACTATGGATACCATGAAGACCTCAAATCACATCCCCACAGAAGTGGCCAACTTTATGTGCCTAACAAGCTTTGCATCTTGATAGTTCTGGGCTCTGCCTGAGAAGCCTGAGCATCTGTCCGAGAACGAAGCTCGTGCAGCTCGTGCTCCAGCTCCACAATACGAGCCTGCACACAAAATCACACAAATATATCCCAGTTATTCCCAATTCACGTTTGCCTAGTGACAGGTCGTGCGCACAAAATAAAATTAAAGCGCATAATTCTTGAAAAGTCTAATCGAGGTCGATTTATGCGGGGGAGGGGCGGCCTCCACAAACGCACAATCCACAAACCACGTCTCAAGGCAAAAAGAATACATTTGACAACGAATTGGGATGCACAGGTGAAGCCCGAGCGTACGCCAGTCAACCGACGGCTAAAGAAAATCTCGAATCTCTCACCAGGCGAATTTTATTGTCGCCCGTGACGAAACAACTCCGTTAAAATTATATAAGAGGACTTTGTGGCTCGTCTACATACAGTACAGTATACGGTATACGCGTGTATTTTGGTTCACCTACAGTATATAAAACCTGCATGATTTCTTTGGAGGGGAGAGCGAGGTGGTCATCCTCCCCACCTCTCCCCGATTCAAACGAAACCCATGGGAGGAACAACCGGAAAAGGTGAAGAGATTTGAAGAATGTGAAACAAGAAACATCAAACACATGTGAAATAGGACAGGATTGCATTGGTTGAAGTGAAACATTGGATAGAGCAAAAAGAAACGGAGGTGAGACCAGGCTGAGGCATTACCCTTCCAAGGCGTCCTATGTCTCCCAAATTGAACATTTATCAACTGCTGGATCGAGACCCCGGGCACTCATCTCTTTCTAATTTCACCCAAAAAGAACTCTCTCTCCCTCTCTCTCTCCCTCCAGGAACTCCATCGCCCCAAACGCATATCCGCCCTCAACATCCGCAAGTGATATATGTAATATATACTATACTATACTATACTATACTTTAACCTTCACTCGTCCATCATGCCCTGAACATGATTTGGACAATGTTGGCTCTGAGCAACATTTCAAAATCAAACCATCATGACCACATGACATTGAAGACCTTTAACAAATAGGTGCTCCCCAGATCTCCCCAGCCCCATAGAATAGTGAATAGTGGCGGGCCTCAAGCACCACAGGCTTGTCTTGGGCAGCTTGTGCTTCCAACTCGGCCACACGAGTGTGAGCAGCTGACAGCTTTGCCTGCAATTGCCTCAGCTGCACCTCTCCACCAATCGAAAAAGGCTCTCAGAATATATGATCAAAAAGCACGCAAACAACATGCTTGAAAAACAGTCACTGGACCTTAAGTTTTCTGAACAGTGTCCAGTGGCATAAAGTCCTCCGAATACTCGGCCACGCGAGCATGAGCAGCTGACAGCTTAGTCTGCAATTGCCTCAGCTGCACCTTTCCACCAATCGAAAAATACCCTCACAATACTCAAAAAGCCAGCAAAAAGAGAAAAAGAACAACAAAGCAGCTGAATTCCGAAGTTTGCCAGGTGGCATAAGGTCCTCCGAATCTTCGCTTGCCGTTTTGGACCGCTCCTGGTTGGGTCTAGCAGCCGATGGCACCAAGCCAATTTGACAACCCATTGACATATGCTAAATACCAAAAACATGCAAGACACACAGTAACAATCAAATGACATCAAAAGTCACAAGCCTCCACTGAAGTACTGAAATACTGTTACACACATGTAATATATATACATATATCAATGAAATATGTATAACTATATATATACACGCAAAAAACGCAACATCTGGCCTGGGAAGGCAAAGGTTCATCTTGGGTAGCTTGCGCTTCCAGCTGCTCGACCCGTGTATGAGCGGCTGACAGTTGTGCTTGCAATTGCCTTGGCTTCACGAAATCAAGGCGCACTTTGCGGAGTAGTTATGCTGAGATCAAAGCGTTTTCAATCTTGCTGAGTGAAGGGACAGTATGATTTCCTCCAACTCCTCGCTGGTTGCACGGGGCGACCCCTCCTGTGAAGAGAGGAAGTCGTTTCTTCCGCAAATCCACTTATGGAGAAGCGTCACAAATCAAACAACACGGAAGCAACTTGAGAGAGGAGGGGTGAACGAAAGGTAGCAGGCAATCACAAGTAACCCTGGTAGAAGTCCATGACGGCGTGAACCGGCGCAGGGGTGATTTGATCCAGGGAGGGGGGGCCCCCCCCCGACGAACAGAATCAACTCTTACAGGACCAAATTCAATGCACAATCCCAACTCCTGATTGTAATACATGTTTGCTAAAGCAAGGAGAACTCAGGTAGCTCAAGCTACCTTTCGTGATATGGCTCACAGCTAAGTATATCCCGCCTCGGAACCCAAAGGTTCATCTTGAGCAGCCTGCGCTTCCAGTTCTGCCCCACGAGCATGAGCAGCTGCCAGTTGTGCCTGCAATTGCCTCAGGTCGATGAAGAGATTCGTCCAATGTGTTGCAAGCCCGAAAGAGCGGCTAAAGAGCGCAACAAAATCCAAGTATATAAACAAAATAAAGAATGCAGAAAACAACGCTCAACCTCTCTTTGGCCAGTGGCGTATTCTCTTCCCTTTCTTTGCTCACATTGGGTTGCTCCTGGCCAAATCAAGGAGAAAGCCAGCTTACAAGTTGCTGCTTCACCCCGCCATTTTTTTCAGAACATTCAGTTCCCCACAGTTCCCCACAAGGCGCGTTTAAATACCAACAGTCTTTAACCACACTAACTTACATCTGAAGAAAGAGCACGTACACCGACGTACACCTGCTCAAAGTGTGCAAACGATACTCAATATGTGGATGCTCAATGTTGTGTTTACGAGCTGTAGTAGCCCCATTTCGGGCTCAAACTGTATACCCTTGCCAGCAAAGTGGTCGCCATCTGAAAACCTCTTAAAACAAGTTGATGTTTGGAAGGCTTACTGTAAGAATCTGATAGAAATCTGTAAGACAAGATGGTGTAAGCCTAGGTCCAAGCACTTCAAATCCAAAGCTGGCCTCCCGGCCATCTTGGGCAGCTTGCGCTTCCAACTCGGCCACACGAGCGTTTGCCACTGACAGCTGCGCCTGCAAACACCTCAGCTTCTAAAATAGACCCAGACCTTCAAATTATACATATGTAATGCCACCACGCTCAAAGTGGCTCCCACCATGCAAGTCTGGAATGAACTGCAACGCTTCACCACTTCGAGTCTGCCCAGTGGCACAACCTCCTCGGACTCTTTGGTGCCTGCGTCTGACTGCTCCTGGAGCTTTTCGGCAACAACAAAGTGGCCTCTCTCTGGTCCCCTTTAAGGTCGTGAGGTAGTGGAGATGGCGGCATTGCTTTATGGACGCGATGTGTGATCCCCTGAACACACTAGGACATGCACATCGCTCTTGACAATCCCACCAGCTGTACTCTTGAAGGGAAATCGTACTTCTGAACTCATATCTACCATTGCCATGTCTTAGCAGCATTAGCA